TAAAATTTGACAATTGAAAAATGTAGAAGATATTCTTAGCTCTCGGGTCATACAAAAGTAGGTGCCAGGCCAGATCTGATCTGGTGGCTATAGTTTGCTAACCTCTTCTCTAGTGGTTAAGTGGTTAAATAGTCACATAAATGAGTATTTCCAGTGAGCAAATAATAAGTAAAATACTGAAGGCCTTTTTGAAGCTTAGAGAAGAGACACAAACCAATTGGGGATTTTATAAATGACTTTTCAACAGAGAGGATGCTTGAGTGAATCTTAAATATCAAGTAAATGCCATTGAGTAAATCGAGAAAGAGATAGAAAGAATATGATTCCATGTACAAAGACACAAGTTTTTTAAATCACATGACATGTGCATGTAAACTAGACTTCTTCCCATTAGCGCAAGAGTAGCACATAATACGAACAAAGTCCCAAAAACTTCCCAGCATAACTTGTCCAGCTTTGCTACCTATTGAGACCATATCAACACACACCTACGAACACAGGTATTCGCAGCCAGCTCAGGTTGCCATAACAAAATCCCACAGACCTGGCGGGTTAAACAACAGGAGTTTATTTTCTCACAGTCCTGGAGGCTGGGAAGTCCAGGATCAAGGTGTGGGCCAGTTAGTTTCTACCAAGGTCTCCTCCTGGCTTGCAGACAGCTGCCTTTCCACTGCATCCTCAGATAGCAGAGAAGAAGGACATGCTCTCTGGTGACTTTTCTTATAAGGACACCAATCCTATTGGATCAGGACCCCACCCTTAGGACCTCACTTAACCTTAATTACCTCTTTATAGAACCCATCTCCAAATACAGTCACATTGTGGGGTACAGCTTCAATGTATGAGTTTTTGTGGAGGGAACAATTCAGTCCACAGCAATAGGTGATCCAATTATGTATCATGATTTGTACATAATAATTTACTTCTATTGCTCCTTTCCTTCTTCCTCATATACCCAAACTTGTGAGGTTTCTTGCCATGGAGATAGGAACTTGCATTTTTACTACCCCATTCAGAAACTATTGATGCTATTAGGGAAAAAATTCAACAAGCATGCTTCTCATTTAATCAAAATAGGATTTCTCGACAAACACAATTCTCCAGTTTTGATTAGGAAGACTCAGAATGATGGACAGTTATTAAAGCCAGGATACCAGGAAGCGAATTTGCAATACCATCACGTCCACCTACAGATTCCGCAGAACTGCCCATTATCCACATTTACTGTCATGTTGGGTTTCAGAAGCGATAAATGCTGTTGAGATGAGTAGGTGCTGGTTTCAAAACTGGACATATTTTTCCTCTTTGTCCAGCATTTTTGTGGTAACCATATTCCTCTTTGTAAACTAAACAAAGTAATTTGTTTGATTGGTTTTTATTCTCTAACAGTTAAGACAAGGTGATACAAACAGAAAAGAAATGTTTTACATAGGAACTGTTATCTGATATTTTGGCAACCAAAACTATTAAATCGCACCTGGAGGCTGTGTTTATACAACGAAGCTTGATTGCCCGGGGGGATTTCAAGGTTCTGATGAGCTTTCTGAAAAAATACGTTACTTGTTGATGTGACAATGTGTGGATTGTGTTTTATTCAAGTTCTGTAGAAGCTGATAATCTCTCTACAGATCAGTGTTTTTGTGATAATATTCCAGATAGGCATCCTTTATGTAAGAGTGACGGTGACAAATTCCCACTGAAGCACATTAATAATTCCATTTCTACTAATGTGCAATTACAAATAAAGATGATAAATTGAAATCACATCTCCTGTTGCGTAAGGGGCTGGTTAAAGAAAAGCAGAGATTTACCAAAAAGTATCATTTCCCATCCCCACTATTCTTTTCAACAAACATAGTGCAGCTATCGTCTCTGTTATGGAGAAACGTTACTTTACACTGAACAGCTATTAATCCCCAATGCCAGCTTCATTCCTAAAACATTGACCAAAACCCAAAACGCACAGGTATTGTGACTGAATAAGACGTGGCCTCTGCCTAGAAGTCAGAGTAAAGCAAGAAATGCATATAGGGCTTCCCTGGTGGCGCGGTGGTTGGGAGTCCGCCTGCCGATGCAGGGGGCGCGGGTTCGTGCCCCGGTCCGGGAGGATCCCACGTGCCGCGGAGCGGCTGGGCCCGTGGGCCATGGCCGCTGGGCCTGCGCGTCCGGAGCCTGTGCTCCGCAACGGGAGAGGCCACGACAGTGAGAGGCCCGCGTACCGCAAAAAAAAAAAAAAAGAAATGCATATATATGGGAGACTGTACTTAATTTTAAAAGATAATCATTGCGTACACTATTGTAATAGAGATAAGAAATTCTGGTAGGTATATATGTATATATGTCAAACTAGACAAATACAAATAACAAAGGTAAAATTATTTTCTAATTATTATGATATATAATATTGGGAACCTGCACACACGTGTACATACATGTACACACATGTACACACACATGTACACACACAGCCGTGTTCTCCACCCTTTTCTGGGAAAATAGGACAATTCAAGTGACTGCCTGTTGGAGTAGCTGTAAGGAAGATCCATGCAGCTACTAAAGATTATACCAGAGAGACTCTGAGGGACACTTTAATGCCAAGCTTCTTTGATTCCATGAGTCGAAGACATTCTAACAAAATAAACAGCAGAAAATGCACTGAATGCACTTTAAAAAATATTCATAGGGTGAGATTAACCCTATTTAATATCCAGTGCAGGAATCCACTCACAGTGCTTCTGAAACTGCATCCGGATCACTTGGAAATCTCAACAGATCTGCAGATTTTAATTCAGTAAATCAGTAAATGCCTGAGAGTTTGCATCCTCGACAAGTTCCCTTTGCTTATCAAGGCATTCACCTACTTTCAACCCTTGTCTGGGGAAAACCAAAACCAAACAAAGATGTAATCCCCAAGTGAGTAGATGTTCTAGGGCAGTAGTTCTCAAAAGGTTGTCCACACACCAGCAACATCAGTATCACCTGGGAACTCGCTAAAAATGCTGATTCACGGACCTCACCTAGACCGACTGAACCAGGAACTCTGGGGCTGCCGCCCAGGAATCTGTATTTTAACAAGCCTATGATGGACACTAACGTTGCAGAACCATGATTCTCAGCACGGCTTGGGAAGGGAGTCAGTGCTGCTGAGTGAACTACAGTTTATCAAGGCTGGTGGCCCTCTGAGACCGTATGATGCCAGCAATAACAGCACCACACCCCTCCCCATCAGACAAACCAGGGGGTCCTTGGACTCCACTCTCTGTTGACTGTCCTTCAGAAGGTCCGGGGTAAATGTGGGAATCTATTACTTTAAACTTGTTTATGGGCAGGTTTTAAACTCACTGATTCGAAGACCACTTGGACTTAAAGGGGTGGGAAGGCTGACTTTTAATACTTAAACTGTAAAGTGTGAGAAATATATACTCATTAACAGACCAAACATTTCTGGAGACTCTAAATGGACGTCCACTGAGGGAACAGAAAGAGGCAGATCAGAGCTGTCCCGACCAGACACCTCTTAATGTACAATAAGCAGTGATGTGACACCACCATCCCTACCCAACAAAAGCACAAATTAATTCTTATATTCAGTACATATTAATTCTTAATGTATCCCTGTGTAATGCCCAACTTTGCAGTTTTCCCCTATAAATAGTAGACAGTGTGTCTATTCGCTCATGAATTAGCATCTTTTAAGTTTTTAAACACAATTATCTTGTCTACCTACACGATACACTCTGCAGGTTAAACATATTCATTCTCCAGATACTTTATCCTGAAATGTGGTGGATTTTATCTCCTCCCTTCTGAATAGTCTATCAGCTCTTTGAGAATGAATGGCTCATAGGATGTTTATTTTCTTCTTTGTGTCTTTGTGAAATTTACCAAAATACACAATGAACAGATGCTACTTCTATCCTCTGGAAAAACAAATGTGATACAAATTAAACGTAGAATTGTAGTCATAGTTTAAATATCACACCCTTTGTCCCGATTATTTCCAACTTGGTGATTTAAGTCTTTTGGTTGATTGCTTTGCCTGAATTTAGCAGCTTCTTCAAACCAGTGGCTCAAATGGAACTTCTGGCCAACAAAATCTTAAAATCTCTTTTTTTTAGCTGAATGGTTTGCCAAACAGATTTCTCCATACTATTTGTACAGTTAGTTTTTAACCATAAATGCTAGATTTTATACTTGTAATATTGATATTACTTTAGGTCAATGTGATTTTTAAATTTCATGTTTTTATATAAGATGACCAAATACTTTCTTGTTTCCTTTTTGGCCATCCTCCCTTTTATTGTTTGATTGCCTGAAAACAGATACCCTCATTATTTTCACTGCCTGTATTCCAATAAAATTTTATTTACAAAAAATAGGTAGTGGCTGGATGTGCCCATGAATGCAGTTTGCCGACACTTGACCTAAAAAACATTTGTTCATACATATAAAAGGAGAAAATAATCACATACTTAGTTTCTTATATCAAATTATAATTTTATGTCAATATTATAAGCAACAATTTTATAAATGTTTAAATCCGAGGAAACCTAAATTTAAGGGAACACGAAAATTGTTTCCAAGCTATCGGGTCTGCAGTAAAGTTTAGTAACTTTTTTTTTTTTTTTTTTTTGCGATACGCGGGCCTCTCACTATTGTGGCCCCTCCCGTTGCGGAGCACAGGCTCCAGACACGCAGGCTCAGTGGCCATGGCTCACAGGCCCAGCCGCTCCGTGGCACGTGGGATCTTCCCGGACCGGGGCACGAACCCGCGTCCCCTGCATCGGCAGGCGGACTCTCAACCACTGCGCCACCAGGGAAGCCCAGTAACTTTTTATATAAGCTTTGTCAGCGTATTTCATTGCTTCCCACAGTATTTTGTCTACTCAGGGTAAAAGAATATGAATAATAAAAGAAATGCCAGAAAAGAAAACAGAAAATCCACGCTACAATATTATCAACATGGTCCTGGGAACAGTGGACACAAGAGCAAAACCTACCTTGACAGGAAATCCGAGAAGGAAAGGCGGACAGGGTATCCATGTCTGATGATCTTCACCATCTCCAGGACCCCAATGTATTGCAGCTGAGCAGACACGTAAAAATTATCAAAAGTATCTGGCAGCCTCGAGTTATTGGGCTTGATGCAATGAATAAAGTGTGGAGTGCACTTCTGAAGTTTTCCAGTAATATCCGTCAGAGTTTTCTAAGGAGAGAAGTAAAGCACAACTGATTCCCCAAAGAGGACACCGACTGACAAGGTAAAGCAATTTTTAAATAAAAATCTTTATCTTCAATCCATGATTCTTATTTATTATGCATTCACTTGCTTTGTGTGTGTGTGTGTGTGTGTGTGTGTGCATGCTTACTTTTTTGAAGGTCCTTAAGTGCTGAAAATGGAGGAGAATTCCATGTAAACCCTCTACAGTTGATATAATCAAAATGGAAGTTTTTGAAATCTGAAAACTTCACTAACCCTGAGTTGCGATGCAATGGTGGCCGGGCCTCCCCGTTCTAGTCTTTGAAGAAATGTAGAATTTCCTTTCTTTTTTAATAACTGTAATGAAAACAAAAGGAAAGGGTGAGCAGGTTTATTTTACTAAATTCCAGTTTAGAGGGAAAAAAATTAACCCTCTGATTCATATAAACTCACTTACAGGCAGATGTAGATTTAAAACAGACTATAAAAATCAGTTTTTTTAAAACAAATGATTTTCTGTAATGGTACCACGAGCTAGAAAAATGGGCAACTACATGTAAAGTAACCATTTCTGTAGCCTTTCAAGTCCATGGCTGTCACGAACCTGCATCTACTTTCATTTGAGAATAGACAGATGTTGACTTGCTTGGTGGTACAGTAAACTCCCCCTGGTATCCTGATTGTATTACTAATTGTGCATGTTTATCATGAAATGTAGCTTACTCTGCGGTAAAAGGATACAATTGATATTTTACATGACAAAGATTTGATGTTTTAACAATCACTGGTTTGTTCCCTAAGTTTAACTATAATCAGTGTCCTACTCATTTTTTCTTACCCTTCCTTTTCTTTTTCTCTTTTTTAATGACTAAAAGGGGTTAGTAAATTACTTGCCTGTGAAAAATGACAGTAGACTGTTTTCTTCGATAAGTAGTTACATATAGCTCTTAAAAGAAAATAATTCAAACGTAGCAAAGATTAAATAATAATGCAGATAAAAGAAGTCAGTGAAAATGAAGCCAGTGGGTGAAGAACGAAAGGCAGAAAGTAATTAATTAAATCCCACCAGGGGTTAAAAGAACCTCAGCCACTAATGTACTATTACATTTCACGAAATCACACAGACTGAGACCAACAGATCTATCGATCCAAAATCATTTATCTTAAAATAAAAGGTCTCGATAGAACAAAAAATTTGATGAAACATCCTTGTCAATATGGTGCTATTGCTATCATGGCAATAGCTCACTTCCTTCCGTCGAGATGAACTGTCACGCTGAAAAGATCAATTGTAACTGACAAGGGAATGGAAAACGAAGCGATTGGTCTAAGATCAACTTGTTTTCTACAAACACAAAGCCGAACGTGATGCTCAGTTGAAGGGTGGGTAGATGGCTACCCTGCTGGTCACAGGGATGGGTGTGCAGGGGTGAGGACCCTCGGAGGGAAGAGAGGAATGGAACACTTAAGGAAAAATCATAATAAATAAATCTTCATCCCTTGAAATTGAACACTCAATTTCCCTTTCCGGGTGGAGGAACTGCTGTGAATTATCTCGCTTTTGCAGTCCTTCAGGGAAAAGACTAATGGCATCTATGCCTGGTAATGTTTAATAATTAAGGTTAAAAATTACAGTTTGGAGGTGTGTGGCGATTTCTTGCTCATGGTTTCCAGGGTGACTGAGAAAGGAAAGGCCAGAAGTTTCAGCGAAACCACCAGGAATAGAGATGGAGCTTTACAAGGGGAACACTTTGTCCTTTTTATGTAAAAGATGCCATTTTATATGCAGTGAGATTGAATTCCTGTGATGGTCCAGTTCTGGAACAACTATATCGAAGGACCCTTAAATCTAGGGTCTAATGGCTAAACATATACACACACACTCAGGAGGACACACACACACACACACACACACACACACACAGACACTTCTAATACGCTACACACATTTCTGCCATTCTTCTATAATACAGTTGACTTTAATTATGCTTTTATTTTAATTGGTAAGTTAAAATGCAGTTCAGCAAGCTACAGTGACTGAATTTCTAAGATTGATTGTCCTGGACACCTTCCCAACCATATTTCTCATTTTTTAAGAGTTTTTATAAAGGCAAGCAAAACAAACTGGGCTACGACTGGGCACTGAATTCATAAACATAAAACATTTCAGTCTGAAACAACTCTTCACTGTATTTTTTGTTCTATTTTACAAATTGTCAGAATCTTTAGGTTGTAAGTACAACCACGCTGGTGTGGGACAAATACCCGTTAAATGGCACAGATGAAACTGTTTGCGGGGCAGGAATACAGACGCAGACGTAGAGAATGGACGTGTGGACACAGGGCAGCGGGGGTGGGGTGGGATGAACTGGGAGATTAGGTTTGACATAAATACACCACCATGTGTAAAACAGATAGCTAGTGGGGACCTGCGGGACAGCACAGGGCTCAGCTCGGTGCTCTGTGGTGACCTAGAGGGGTGGGATGGTGGGGAGGTAGGTCCAAAAGGGAGGGGATCTATGTATACATACAGCTGATTCACTTCATTGTACACCAGAAACTAACACAACATGGTAACGCAACTGTACCCCAATAAAAAATTAGTATAATGCTGAAATAAATTAAAAATCTACGGAACTCTAGGACCTGAAAAATACACTATGTCTATATGAGAAACTACAATTTATTGTTTAGAGACCTGAAGCCTCTGAAGTGATTAATATCAACAGAATAAGGTAGCTCAGTTTATTCCCTTTAATCCTACTGTCCCTGAAGTTACCTCCCATTCATCAAAAAGACAGTCACAGGATGAGATGTAAAAAGGGTGCTGCACAGACAACAACTAAAATGACTGATACTCTATTTGCTGTCAAATTTTCACTCCACTGCACTTTCTTATAACTGTCCTCTCTCAGCGGGTTGTACTTTAGGTAAGCAGTCTTTCCTTTAATTTTTTCAATTAAAATATCAATTTATTTCCATGAGCATTGAGGATTGTTCTTGTTTTTCTTTAAAAGAAGAAGCAAATGTGCTAATAAGCAAACTTCAAAACAACCAGACACGAATCATAAAAACTCCTACCTTACTAAGTTCTGGATAATTCCTGTTTTCTCCAATCATTGAAGAAGCTGTCATTTTCTTACTGAGCCAGGCAGATTTATGTCCTCTGAATTTAAAAGAAGGAGAGGAAGGTACGAGGGCTCCTGTTGGTGACAGTTTCGACTGGAACAGATGATTGATCATGACATTTTCACTAGCTAGGAAATAAATAAATGAAGATTGTAAGCGGCATTAAAATCGTAATTCATGCAAGTGTTAAGCTCACACGTCATCCAGGCGTTCTAACCACTAAAACATTCTGAGTGGGGAGGGAATTTAGGAGTCTACCTTTCCTTTTGCCTCTTTTTCATTTTCCCCACTACTCATCACGCTGTTTGATGAATTCTGACCTTTTTTTGCCCTTGGGCCAGATCCCATGCTCTCCCGTCCCCCACCTGAGCCCTGAATCCCTTGCTCTTGAACTGAGTGGCTCTTACTGCTCTCCTAACAGCCAGACCGGATCGGACCTGCTCAGACCTAAGGGGCCTCAGTGCACTTGACCAAGTCATGAAATGGTCTTGGTCAGCAGCTCTCCATTCCAGGAAAATAACTGCTGGGGACACACGTCCCCAGGAAGAACCTCTCTCCGAGTGGAATGCAGACATTGGGGAGCCCCTGTCTCATTCAGCTGTCTCAGCTGTTAGGGGGAAAAGTGCCTCTTTTTCTGATCCAGTTAAGCTGGAAAGGTGAAAGCAAGTTGATATATTGGGTGTTAGGTTATAAAAATTCTGGTAATTCTGGGTCCATATGTCTTTCTTGACACCTCAGGGAGAAATGGGCTCATGAATGGATGGACACATTTGAATAGCAAAGTGAAAACCATGTCTGTGACAGTTAAGGATCTAGAAGGCATGTTTCTTGGGTTACTTCTATCTGTATGTAGACAGTTTTTAAGCCTTAATTTCCTTTTCTGTGAAATAACCACCCGAGTACCTACTCTGTGGATTCCCGCAAGATTAAAGTGTGATCTAAAATGCATAAATCATTCATCGGACAGCTGGCAGCGTTCAGGAGCAAAGTGGTTTAGTTTCCACCATTTCTGCACTCAGATTATTTTGTTTGCCCAACTAATGTATTTATTAGCAGTGCCTTGAGTGAAAAGTCGCTATATGAATAAACAAATAGGGAGCTAGGAGGAGGGTCAGAGAAGGGAGATACAATTATGGATTACAGGAAGGCAAAAAAGAGCCCTGTGGTGTTGGCTGGAAATTATAGGTATCACAATAATATACTGCGATATATCTATCCATATCTATATCTATATATACACACACACATATCTATGCAAAATCTATGCCTATATCTTAAATTTTCTAGTTCTGAAAGGATCTAAAAGCAATGACACGCCAGTAGCAATGAGCTCACCCTGCCCCCATTTCTTAGTGTTTCTTAACACCATTCACTTCTAAAATAAATCAAGTCTTCTTGGATAAGTGGCCAATTCTGGATCTGAGGCAAGGTAGAAGATCCCAGAACACTTTGGAAAGCCAGAATGTAAGAAAGTGCCCCAAAAGACATGAGAACCTGTCAAAAGGACATAGGAACTAGCTTGGAGGGGTTCTCACTGGCCAAGTCTTGGGCAATTTTAGTATCAAAATAATGACCAAACTGGGCTTCCACTTCTTAAAATATTAATGTCATGAAGAAAAAGGAAGCCGAGGAAATGTCCCAGCTTAAAGAAAACTGACAAGAAACGGCAAGTAAACTCAGCAAATGGTCCTGAATTGGGAGAAAAATGATTATGAAAGACATTAGTGGGATAATTGGTAAAGTGTTACATAAACTCTGAATTAGATATTGGTATCATATCCATGTTTAATAGTCTGATAATTTACTGAGGATATCTACGATCATGTCCTTGGTCTTAGGATAGGGACCAAAGTATTTAGGCACAAAGACACTTTTGGCCATTCTCCAGTGGCTCAGAGAGTGTGCGTACATATACATGCACGCACACACGGAGATGGAAGGAAGGAGAGAGTGAGAGAGAAAAGGAGAAAGGAAATGAAAAAAGTCAATCTGGGAAAAGAGCACACGGGAGTTCCTTGTACTAATTTTGTGACTTTAAGTTTGAAATCATTTAAAAACAGTGAAACAATAAACATATAATACCATGGCCTATGTAACTTAATTAAAAATATTATTTATATTTCTAGCTAGTCTGTGGATGGACAGAACCACAGATAAACAGTGCAACTTGGTACTCCCATAACTGGGGAAAAAGGCTTTACTACATCTATAAACACTAGACATAACTATGAACCGAAACATGTAAGTGACCTGTTTCTGTCCTTTCTCTGGATCACACACCCAGGCTGCATGAAGGTAAAGCAGGGGTAGCATCCCCCTACGATGGAGATGCCATCAGGCCTCACCCCTAACAGTAGAGCCCGGCCCATAAGCTGAGCCAGTGGGAGGTGAGAGCAGGTTCCTCGGCACATTAAAAAGAGAAATTCGGCCATCGTGTTGCCACCTAGAGCCTGAGAAGGACAGCTTTGGCCTCCCTTCCCTATTTCTAGGAGTCACTTGCTGCAGGCATTTTTCTTCATGTCACCCTGTATACACGTTGCAATGGGAAGCATCCCTCTCTGGGCTCTAGACACAATGCACTGGGCGCCTTTCTGCCCGTAAAACGGGCTGAGCTAACTGAGGTGCCCACAGTCTATGAGCAGGTCTGCAGAAATGCCAACAGTGTCACTGACAATAAATGGTAAAATCTCCCCTACTTATAAGTAGACTTAAGAGTCTGGACTGTACCTGCTTCTTTCTGAGTCAAGTGGACTTGATTTCCCATCTTGGGCATCAACGAGGGCACTGTCTGTGTGAGCTGTGCCACCCAGTTCCCTGTCTGCACTGGTCGGGGGTGTCACAGACACAGCTGGATTTGTAGGGATCCTGCCACAGACCCTGCCTCCTTCCACACCTGGGAGCTTTTGGATAATATGAGAATTGAATCAGATGCTGTAAGCAGAGTACTTAGCAAGGTGCCTGGAGACAGGAATTACCACTATTATCTATAAATTACACTTGCTTTTAATAACTATTTGCAGTGCCAAAACATTCCATAGATTCATAAAATACTATCACAACCATGCATCTTTGCTTGTGTGATAGAACGGGTGAGCAACTGTGGCCTGTGGGCCAAATCCACCAGCCACAGTTTTTGTAAATAAAGTTTTATTGAAATACAGCCACATCCATCTGTATTGTCTACGGTTGCTTCCTCATTATCATAGCAGAGTTGAGTAGCTGCAACAGTGAACTTACGGCTCGCAAAGCCTGAAATATTTACTCTCTAGTCCTCTGCAGAAAATGCTTCGCACCTCTTATATGAACACAGAAGGGCATGTTGCAATTTTTGTCGTCTTGCTCGGATGTATGTATAGTCTAAAATATTTAGATTAAAATAAGATACGCCTGTTTTCTCTTGGCACTTGTTAGCAAGCATACACAAAAGAATGACTTTAAGATATAGGGACTCTGTTAAGATAAGCAGAATTGCAGTATCTGAAGCCATCATGTTTTCTTTCTAAATACATATTCCATCACCGTGAAATACAAAAAAAAGGAGGCCTAGTGCCAACTTTGAAAACATGCTGTATATTAGTTCTTCATAAAATACATGGATTTTATGTACGTTATACAATTTTAAGTATGTTATGCATGAAAGTCCAAATATTTGAAAACTAGAAGGAAGATATTTCCAGTGATAATCAAGAAGATCAATTATCTCACTTCTTTCTTTTTACACAGTATTATTCCAAGTCCATGTTTTTATCATTAGTCTCAGCCTTTAAGAGAACTCAATAACCATACATTCTGAGAGGCAAGCAGAGTCATTCCCCATGAAAAGCAATATACTGCAACTCTACTATTTGATTTAAGGTAAATATATTCCTCCAGCCGGAAGTGATATGGATGTCTTATTTCCAGCTCAAAGGCATCCAACTATTTCATGAAAGGCTATGATATGCTTCTCTTCCCAGGAATGATAAATGGCTCCATCTCACTTAGAGCAACTTAAAGCACAAAGATGATACATTTTAATTCATTGAAGAGGTTATTAAGAAAATGTGAATCACTGCAGAACTTCTATTAAGAAAATAATTACTAGAGGAGATAGAACTATACATATACGTAAATTTATAGCTCTATATGTAAATACAGAGATATATATAATTATACCACATATAAACCCAGTACATCGTTTTGCATATAGTATAGAATTATAGATATATGTATAGAGATATGTACATAAAGTACTAAGGTTCACTAAGTAGATGTCACCTATAAATTTATATGGATATAGACATATATGCATGTGTGTATGTATATATCAATTTGTACCCTCATTTTACTTTGTAAGCATTAGTTTTTTATAGCTGAAAGTACACAAGAATAAAATACCACCCTTAGCTGTGCTCCAGAGTCATCTTAAGTAATGAAACTCACCCTGCTGTATGGAAGCCATATGCATCTTCATCAGTCTTCACACGAGAGCTTCTTTATATTCACATGCCAAACTGGTGAAGGTGTTTTATATTTCTATCCGCTAAAAGGTTAGTTAAATTATGGTTTCTACTAGACTCTAAATTAAATTATAACCAGTGTGTAGCATGGCAAGCTCCATTCCTTATTATTCTGGGCATTAGAACACGAAAGATAGTTCAATTATCCTTAGCTGGTGGCATATTTTATAGGGCCATGTTCAGAGTCAGAGACATAAAGAATGTGTGGCATTTTAACCGTACGGGGAACACTTACTTTTCATTACAAATAGAAGATTCTGTGAAAGGGAGTCTTTATTTTTTTCAATTGCTCCAACAATTTCATACATTACCTATAATAAAAGAAAGTGGTATAATTACTAATGGTTAAACATGACCACGAAAGTAATTTCCTTTAAAGAATAACTTGACTCAGCGGCAGTTTTAAATTATTCATGAGCAGTGTCTTCAGGTCTTAGAGTTCTCGCTACAGGCAAGTTCAAAGCTCCCATTCCCAGGCTCTGATCGCCGGGGCCCTCCTCCAATCGCGAGTTTAGGAGAAAGGGGTGCTGACTCATAGCCACCATAGCCTGTTTATTCTGAAAAACCCTCACCTGCTCTGAAAACTCTCTAAACCAAGTAGGAAGACTTCATGACACCTTGAGAGGGAAGGAAATGAGGCGTCAGTTTGAGAAACGGAGTGCTGTCTCTATGAAAAAACTTAAAATAGAGCTACCGTATGATCCTGCAATCCCACTCCTGGGCATATATCCAGAGAAAACTCTAATTCCAAAAGATACATGCAATGTTCACAGCAGCACTATTTACAAGAGTCAAGCTACGGAAGCAACCTGAATGTCCACTGACAGGTGAATGGATAAAAACAATGTGGTATACATATACAGTGGAACACTACTCAGCCATAAAAACGAATTAAATAGTGCCATGTGCAGCAACATGGATGGACCTAGAGATTCTCATATTGAGTGAAGTAGGTCAGAGAAGGACAAATATTGTATGATGTCACTTATATGTGGAATCTAAAAAAATGATAGCAAATGAATTTATTTACAAAAGAAATCGACTCACAGATGTAGAAAACAAACTTATGGTCACCAAAGTGGATAGCGGGGTGGGGGGGGGAGATAAATCAGGAGTTTGGGATTAACAGATACACACTACTATATAGAAAATACTAAACAACAAGGACCTACTGTAGAGCACAGAAAACTATACTCAATATCTTGTAATAACCTATAATGGAAAAGAATCTGAAAAAGAGTAGATCTTGAACAGATATGTACATAGATATGTATGTATGTGTAACTGAATCACTTTGCTGTACACTTGAAACTAACACAACATTGTAAATTAACTACACTTCAGTAAAAAAAAAAAAAAAGCGTTCCTTCGGAGCATTTAAGCAGTGAACAAAATCTGAAGTCCTTAAAACAAAGAAAACTCAGGAAACAATTAATTCTGGATTATTCAAAGAACAGTTTTTTTTTCTGTCACAGTTTACTTACGAACATATTTAAATGACTTTATTGTCTGGTTTTGCTGGTATTCCCATCTGGCCTGGGAGACTTGATTTTTGAAGAGAGACGTGGTTTTATTGTCTCTCTCAGCCTCAGCTAAGTGCGAGCTCCCAAGTGGGGTCCAGAGGGTCAGAACAGCCACAGGCTCATCGGGTTCCACAGCTGCTGCTGCTTCGCCACGGCTGGGTGTCACAGGCTGCCCTTTACCCCGGGTAGACCAGGACTGACCCCAAGGAGGGCAGCTGGTCAGTGATGTCTCTTTGTCCTGCATCACCATGAGGGAGTGTGGGTGGTTAGACCAGTGAAGGTGACAGTCATCCGACTCCTTGGGGAATTTTAACTGGATGGCCCAGAGGAGATCGTCTCATTGGCAGCAAGATGGAACTAGACAGAAAGAATCCATGAGAAAGAGGCTGAGTGGCCAGTGAGAGGAAGCAAGAAAAAGGCCAGATGACCCCCAGTGAGTCTTGGTTCCTAGCGGGTTTTCAAGTTCCAATGCCTAACTGTGTCATCCTTACAATAAAGCCTTGCTGGGATTTTATTCTTTGCTGTCACAAGAGCCTAAACGGCACAGAAATCCCAAGATACCCTCCAGATTCCCAGATTTTCCAACATGAATTTGGATCAGAAGACTGCTTGAGCTAAGAGGCAAACAACTAAACAACTTTAAGATACTTCTCAATCATCTAATTATCCAGTTTGCCCCTAGGCCAGAATATGGCTTGCCAATATTAAAATGTAAGCTATATATCACGTTACATATTACACATGGTTGAATATAAACAATTTTTACATCATCTAGAGCAGTGGTTCTCAACCAGGGATGATGGTGACACTTTCAGTGCCTGGAGTCTTCTGCGTTTGTCACAGCTGAAGGGTTGGAAGGACAGGGATGCTACAACCATCCTACAGTGCCCTGGACAGCTCCACAGTGAAGAAGTATCTGGCCCCCAATGACCATGGGATTGGGGTTGAGAAACCTTAACCTGGAGTTTGGCTTCTACACGCCTTCCTGTATTAGAGACAGCAGTGCCCAGAGACCACAGACACCCAGCTAAGCTGCTCTGCATCTATATGGACTTTGGCAGGTTATTTGATGTCCCAGAGCTGAGCCTGCAGTGTAGGGTCCTCCTCTGTATGGTTCCAATCTATAATTCTAGCCTCTTCTTTTCACGGGCATCTGATGATTCTGAAGTAAAAAAACACACACACACACACACACACACACAGTTGGACTACCTGATTTTTTCTAAGTACATTCCTTGCCTGTCTTTGCTCCTGTCGTGTCTTGCTTTGTGATGGGCCTTCCTGCTGTACCTTGAGGGAGTGACTATGGATTTGCTCAGCTCTGTCTCTGCAGCAACAAGCAAAATGCTGTGTCCACTGGGAAGATTCATTTAATGTTTGGTGAAATGAACAAAAAGGTTTCATTACATTGTGACCACATATAGCATAACGTTGAGCTTCCCCTTTTTATTTAAGATTATGTTGATGAGTCTTTCATTATCACAAGATCATGTGCTCTGGGAAGTCCTCATGAATGGCGTCCTGGTTGTACTTGGAGAGTTAGACAAAAAGCTAAAGGTCTCCCATTAAAACTAAAGTTCAAAACCTCCCAGTTGGAGACACCAGCTGGAGAAGTTACGTGGAAAAGATATTTAACAAAATCCATACAAGTGCAAACACTCGAGAAGGGCAGTTTGGTACTTGTAGGAAGCATTGGGCAAAAGTTTTTACTTCATATAAAATTAATAAGTCTTGAAGCAGGTGAGCTTAATTATTTTGTGACAATGGGAAAACTGCTTTAGCTCTTTGAGTCTTTCTTTATGTGTTAAATTAATATTCTGCAAAGGCATTCCAAGCTTAAGAGCTTCTGAGCCTATTCCTAAGACAGGGATGATTACAGTACTGACAGGATTTGAGTTGACAGCTCAACAGAAGTATTAGACATTACCCCCCAAGATAGCTTATTTTATCATAATTAACACAATAATGCTAACGACTCTGTGTTACATAAACTTGGCATTAGTGGAATGCTAACACATGGTTCCATATCATGGGTTTTTTTCCTGGTCCCAAATCTGGAATCAAGTATTTCCTCAAGGAGCCCTTTCATATTTTACAGGAAAATTGTAGTTAGAGACCTAGAGGTGCACAATAGCATAGTATTATCAAGCTAGTCAGTGTTTCTAGGACTTTTCAGGGGACGAGCTGAGAAATACGTGCACACAACACACATATGTGTGCACATACATCTGAGATGGGTTTATTTTTTTCTTTTTAAGGGTAAAATACAATCTGTTTCCAGACTTGGTCTTTTAATCATGATGATTTCCTCGATCCAATAAAGTTTGGTATTGGCCTTGTCAAAGGCAACTAGAAAATCTAAATAAATGATATCCACTCATGCCCGTTTATTATGTCCATAGATAACCTGCTCCCATCACCTTTAAATGCTTCTTAAACTTTTAATTTTGAGATAATTGTAGATGCACCTTTGTAAGAAATAACAGCGATAGAGCCGGTGGACCCTTTACCCCATTCCCGCCAGTGATAACATGGGACAAAACCATCACCAGCAGGATATTGACATCAGCGCAGGGAAGACTCAGGACTCTATTTCATATGTGGTGAATTGAGGTCATTTGTGTTTTCTGAGGAACTGGTCCAGTTCATCTAAGTCATCAAATTTATATGTGATGGTTGTTTGTAGTATTTATTCCCTTTTGATCTTTTTGTTGACTGCAGGGTCTGTATTCATATTTCCTGTTTTATTCCTGATATTAGCAATTTGAGTCTTTTCTCTTTTTTCCTTGTCATTCCTTACTAGAGGTTTGTCATTTTTATGGTTATTTTAAGAGAACCAACTCTTTGTTTCATTGATTTTCTCTATTTTTAAAAAAATTCCACGCATTTTGCTCTCGGTTTGCTCTTGGATTGCCTTTTGTTTGCTTGTTCTGGGTTCATTTTACTTTCCTTCTTCTAGGTTGTTGAGGTGGAAGCTTAGATTACTGACTTGAGACTTTCCTCTTTTCTAATATATGTATGTAGTGCTATAAATTTTCCTCTTGGCACTGTTTTAGGCCTGTCTCAAAAGTTTGATATGTTGTATTTTCATTTTCATTCAGTTCAACATATTTTTGAATTCCCTTGAAACTTCATTTTTGATTTATGGATGATTTAGAAGGGCATTTTTTAGTTTCCAGGTATTTGGAGATTTTCCTGTTATTCTTCTCTTCTTGATTTTTAGTTTGAGTCCATTGTGATAGGAAAGCCCCAGTCTGTATAATTTCAATCCTTTGGAATTTTAGGTTTGGTTTATGGCCCAGAATATAGTCTTTCTTGAAGCATGGACTTGAAAAGAATGAGAATTCTGCTTCTCTTGGTTTACACATCTATAAGTGAGCAGATCCCATTGGTTGATGGTGTTGAGTTCTTCTACATCCTTTCTGATTTCCCACAAAGCTGTTCTATCAATTGAGAAGAGGACGTTGAAGTTTCCCACTTAACCTTCTGGTTAGTTGACTCAGCAGGGGAAGACAGGCACAGACTCATTACTGTCAAGTGGAGAATTCGGGGTCCCCGCTCAACCTCCTCTGACACAAAAGAAGAGGGGATTCTCATTGCCGCTGGGTGGGCAGGAGTTCTGGGTCTCCACTGGGCCTCCAGGCGCACTTCCCTGGCTGCAGGGTGAGCAGGTGGAAGGGGTTGACGTGCCTCTCTACTGCCACCCCCTTGGGCTCCTGGTGATTCAAAGGGCAGTGAGCCTCAGCCTAGTTAAATGGACAGAGGAATCTGTATGAATGGGAAAACAG